AAAAATTACCCTAATACTCCTCAGTGGCTGCAAACATTCATCAAAACTGTACAACAAAAACAATAAAACATTTCTACTGATTATGGAAAATGGTTTTTTTTCTGCTGTTTTATATTTGGAATCAATTTAATTTAATATACAGAAAACAAGTAGGGATCTCAAACAAAAAGTATTTCTGTTATTAATATCAACACTACAATGCACAAAAAAAGTAGAGTATAAAAACATATTTTTAATTTTCTACAGTTACTTCACTATCTCCCTGTAATATATATATATATATATATATATGTGTGTGTGTGTGTGTGTGTGTAATAATTCCCTCTAGTATCCTTTTTATTAACTCTTTGTACTAATATATAAACAAACTTTTTTCTTTGGCTTAAGAAATAACACAGTAATCTTAATCATAATCGGCTAGTCCGAAATCCATGTCCCGGCCATTCTATCCAATAATAATTACCAGTACGTAATGATCACGCGCTTGCACTCCTGGTATAAAAGCTAAAATCTTGCGTCATGGCCCTTTTTTTATCCTTGCCTTCATCATGTAAGAATGTGAATAGCTGCCACTCTTTGCCTTTGTGTCCTCCAACATGCCGCTGCCTATTCAATGAGGAAATATACCGTAATTGTGCTTTAACCTATTGATGTGTACTTCATAATATAGGAGGAAAAGTTATAATGAAGATGTCTTCAATAAACTAGATATGACAACAAACCAACACCGGCCATCGCTACTACAATACTTAATATATATATATATATATATATATATATATATATATATATATATATATATATATATATATATATATATATATATATATATATATATATATAGGGGTGACCAAAATTGTGGACTTTTTAAATTGTTATATTTTTTTAGTTTGTATGCTTATAGAAAATTTTACGTTGAACGAAGTGCTAAATATTTTACATCATTTTAAAGAGAATTTAATACTAAATTCAATACAAAGAAAGAAAAATTCGAACATTTGCAACGCAAAAAAAGTTGTGCTGCATTTACTGTGGACATAAATTAGATACTGATGACAGCAGTGAGTTATCAGAGCTTAGTGAGGTTATCTTTATTTATTATTACAGTTTCACTTCAATGTTTCATTGAGCAGAAAATAGTTTTAAGCTCTTCCTTCGTTATTACATGAAGCCAGGAAACAATTATATCCTCAATTAGTGCCTTTTTATTTCATGGGTACCTCATTCGGTTAAGAGTTTTCAAACAGTGCCAAAAGTTTTTGATAGGATTGATGCCAGGATTGTTTCTTGGTCACAATATAAATGATATTCATTCAGAAAAGCAATGATATAAAATGAAAAAGTAGTTTGGACACATGTTGGACGAGAAAGTTGTATTTCCTATGTGAGAATTATACAACAGGTGGGTAGTCCAGCTACTAAATCTGGAGACTGAAAGTTTGTTTAAAATGTGAGGAAACAAATTTAATAAAAAAACAAGAAAATGCTGAAAAAAGTGCACCATATCTATTGATGACAGAAGAACAAAAATACTCTGTTTCAGAAATAAAAGCGTTTCATGGACATCCATCATAATTTATATGAGTGATGCTGGTTTTTCTGTCAGTTGAAAAACAATCCGGAGTAGATTGGAAGATGTAAGACTAAAAGGTGGAATTCCGCGAAAAAAGTCGAATCTCAATTTACAGCAGCTCTAAAATGGACTACAAAGAACAGTGGAACACATTAATTGGACAAATGATTATTGATTACAAGTTATATAGAGAGGTTAATCTAAAATTTCGTTATTCGATAGTGATAGCCGAAAATATGTAAGACATGCTGAGCAGAAATGCTACATCCTGACTGTATCCAGGCAACTGTAAATTCCCCACATATTTTTATCATTTAGACATGCATATCAGCAGATGGTATCGGTCACCTTCATATCATTGATGAGATACTGAATGTCATCAAACACATTGACACCATTCTATAACCCAAACTGTATAGTCACACAGTATAGTAATTCAAAGACTAGTATCGTTCTATGATCATTGAGTTGTTGTCCTGTCCAGGAAACAGTTCTGACCTCGATCCTATCGAAAACTTGTTTCACCTCCTGAAACCTCTTGTCCGAATGAGGTATCCATGAAATAAAATCGAACTAATTAAGGATATAATTGTTTCCTGGCTTCATGTAATAACAAAGAGAGAGCTTAAAACTATTTTCAGCTCAATGAAACATCGACGTGAAGCTGTAATAATGAATAAAGGCAACCTAACTAAGCTCTGATAACTCACTGTTATAATCAGTATCTAATGTATATCGAAAGTTAGTGCAGCTTAACTTTTTGAGTTGAAAGTATGTGAATTTTCTTTTTTGTATTAAATTCTATTTAAAATGATATAAAATACTTAGCATTTTGTGCTACGTAAAATTTTCTATAAGCGTACAAACTTAAAAAAACAGAATAATTTAAAAAAGTGTCCACAAATTTGGACGCACTTTTTAAAATAATTTTTGTGGCATATAATTTGTCGTGGCGATTGGATGATATTAAGGTATCGAACCAAAGGATAGGGCGTGGTCATTGGAAGTGATTACTGCCAGAATGAACATATTTTGTGGAATTGATGAGGCAGTCTTGAAAGTTCATCCAATCTATTGCATTGAATATGTGAGACACACAACTACATATTGACGACATCACAAAAAAAACACATATAACAAAAATACACACACGACAACTGCAGCCGGCTTCATGCTTGAAAGCAGACAAAGATATGAGCGAGAAGAGGGCGCGGGATTACCAGATCACGGTTTTTATAGCCAGCGGGACATCACATGATTTGGTGGTGGATTGATGTATTTTCAAAACTCCCCGTTAGGTGGGAAACTAATTAAAATAATTAAACGGTTGTTTCGAAGGACTGGACCATAGTTATATCAAAAGCTCTTCAAGATTAATTTAATGGAAATTATTATGCACGCACGCAATCACAAACACATATATATACGTAATAATTCCCTCCAGAATCCCTTTAATTAAGCCTTTTTAATAATATTAGGTTGAGGAAAAAGAAATCCATTATTTTTTTGAAGATGGCTGTAATGTCGATATCTCGTGAAGTATGGTTCAAACAATTTCGATTTATGCTCGTCGTCAAGGGGACAGTTTACACAAAAAATTATTCTATTGTTTTTTTTTGTTTCGTCCATTCAGCTGTGAGTTACACGGTGTTAAAAAAGGAAGTCAACAAAAAGAAAATTCAGTAGATTTTACAATTTTTATTTGATAAAGGTGAAACTGCAAGTCAGGTGGCTGAAACTGTGAGTGGTGTTTATGGTGCCGATAATGTAACAGCTAATAACGAACAATTTTGGTTTCATCGATGCCGTTCAGGCATTTTTGATGCTAAAGATGCACCTCACACAGGCAAGCCCGTCTACGAAAATGTCGGTAAAATCACAGAAAAAATCTAAATTTAACGACATGTTAGTAATTGTAGTATCGCCCAGGAGTTAAAGATCGACCATAAAACAGTTTTGAACCATTTGTGCAAAGTTTGATTAAAAAAGAAGCTGGATGTTTGGGTGCCACAGCAATTAAAAACAAAAAACATGATGGTTCAAATTTCCATTTGCGAAGCCTTGGTCAAACGGAATGAAATCGACCCATTTCTTAAGCGGATGGTGACTGGTGATGAGAAATGGGTCACATGCGAAAATATTGTGCAAAAACGATCGTGGTCAAAGCTCGGTGAAGCAGCACAAACGCTGGCGAAACCAGGACTAACGGCCAGGATGGTTCTACTGTGTATTTGGCGGGAGGAACTGGAAAGGAATAATTTATTATGAGTTGCTTCCGTATGGCCAAACACTAAATTCAGATCTCTACTGTCAACAACTGGACCGTTTGAAACTAGCTATTGACCAGAATTGGCCAAAAGAAGAGGTGTTGTGTTCTATCAGGACAATGCCAGGCCACACACTTCTGCTGTGACTTGCCAGAAAATCTGGGAGCTTGGTTGAGAAGTTTTAATGTATCCATCATATAGTCCGGACTTGGCCCCAAGTGATTATCACTTTTTTCTCGCATTGCAAAACTTCCTGAGTGATAAGAAATTAGGATCAAGAGAAGATCGTGGAAATCGATTACTAGAGTTTTTTGCCAATAAGGACCAACTCTTCTATGATAGAGGAATTATGAAGCTATCTTTAAAATGGCAACAAATTATACTACAAAACGATGTATCTTTGACCCAAATCGGACAATCCTAAACACGTTAAATAAAGTCTTGAATTTCATGCAAAAATAATGGAATTTTTTCCCCCAAACTGTTATTTAAACCAGCTTTAATTCTTTGGTTCAAAACGTACTAACCTTATTCGCAATCAAATAACATCAGATATCCGTTTCCCGTCCATTTTAGCCAATCAGAGCTCTTATTACAAAATAGTCACGCGATTGTCACTGTCGGTATATAAAGCGAAAATATACTTTGTGATCACGCTTGTTATCTTTGTGTTCGTCATACGAAATGTCCCGGCTGCTTGTGTCTCCTGTGTGTCTGTTTTTTGTGTTCTGACCAAATATATAATATAAGTTTGATTGATTATCTATGCAATGTGTAAGTAATTAAACAAAATGAAAACTAATTCTGAAGAATTTTTTCCTGAGACCTGATATCCAAATACAACAACACCGGCCAACTCTATTACATATATATATGTGTATATATATATATATATATATATATATATATATATATATATATATATATATATATATATATATATATATATATATATATATATAAACTTTTTAAATTTTCAATCGTTAATAACGTACTTTTTAATCCATTCAAGTTCAAATGCATTTTTTTAAAACTTGTAATGGATGACACCAAATGTTAACAGAGTTTTTTCAAATATTAATTAAGTTAAAAATGAATAAATACTAACAAACAAAAATAATAGTCCAACAGCATATATAGAAAGGAGAATCATTCGTTGTGTCCCTATAGCGTAATGGGTAGCGCGCGTTGGACTTCTAATCCAAAGGTTGTGGATTCGAATACCACTTGGGATGGCCTAAATTCTCAGCATGTTGCTTCTTTTGTGCTGTATTAATTTATCAGAATAATTAAATTTAATGAATAAGTAAATAGTACAAAAAAAAACAAAAAAATAGTCCAACATCATACATAGATAGGAATATGGAATATTACGAGGAAAATCTATTTCTATTTTGTCACTTAATATTGTGATTCTGTCCTATGTATATACATATTAGGTTTATCTTAATTGAAACTATTTAATAAAAAGTAACTAAAATAAAAAAAAAATTGATCTACGTAGGAATTGATTAAAAAGAATTTTTATGTTACGTGTTATATAAAAACTTATTTCTTTTTGAGATACTTAAAATCTTATACCTATGGTATTCGTGTTACACAACTTAATCAAATATTAAGCAATTGAATAAAGTTAATGTAGTTCTAAATTAATTGAAGTGTGATTAGATTCAATGAACCCAATATCACAGATTATTATAGTATCGCCAAATCTTCTATCTCTGTTCTAATCCTAATACTTAAAAGATTTTACAGTCACAAAATCCCCTTTCAGGTTCCATTACTGAAATTAATTAGTATCAGATTAGTGTTAAATACGCATATGTTTGATAATAATTACAGCATTTGTTTTCCTCTCTTGAAAAATAAGGAAAAATAATTTTTCTGAAATATTAAACTTTATGCATAATTTTATATATTTAATAAGGTCTTATATCTTGTATTAAAATGATCACTTATAATCTTCATTTTAAAATGTAACATTTGTGCGTGCTTAAATAACTATTTTATTTCTTTTATTTTATAAATGAGTGCGTTAGGGTTTATTTACTCTTTATTTACCTCATTATGATCTACTGCAATTTTTTTCGTGCTATATTTTTTTGAATAACTGCATTAAAAATCAAGGGATTTAGATAAATAAAATACTCAACTTAGGAAAATTTAATACATTAGAGCAAAATAATTAAAATGGTATTTTAAAGTAACATCACTCCACAAAGGTCTAAAATATTCTTATAATACAAATATACTGAATGATTTTTTAAAGGAGTTTTAACTCTTAAAATTGCTAAATAACCAGAAAACACTAAGATTTTACAGCACAAAATATATTTTTTTTGAAAATTATGAAGTTTTAAATTTTATTTACTTTTTTTTATACATAAACGCAGGTTTTACACATAAACTTAATTTGTTGCTATTCAAGAAAACAGCTTTTCTTTTCATTAATACACAAAATTTCATTACGCGTTTTGCATTTTGAGTGAGGTTTTTATTGAATACTTTTTAAAGCCCTGCAATCTGGGGTAGGAAATACTGAAATTTCTTTACTTGAACTACTACACCTTGAGTCTTGTTCCTTCTCTACATCGTCATCTTAAAAATCTAACAAAAATTCCAGTAGATAATTTGCTGGGACTTCTTAATCTGAAGAATCGTCTATATTAGTTCATCCCTGCCTTCAGATGGTATGTTCTGTAATAAAACGAAGCCTCACGAAGAGTGAGCATTTTTTTCTTGATACTAAGAAAATGACAAAAAAATTAAATACAGTTGGACCGCTATGTAGCGAACTCGCTAATTCCCAGACCAAATGGAACATTCATTACACAGAGGTTCATCTTTTGAAATGCTTTATAAGCCACATAAAAAAATTTATAATTTCATACACAATATATATTAAAAAATAATTATTTCCACCCTTTTTAAAATTAATATTTGTTTATTTTATATAATTTACCCATCGACAAAATGAATGAAAGAAAAACTGCAAGGAAAACAAGAAAAAAGAACGTCGAAGAATACACTGTATTTTTAATGATAAGAAAACAATTTTATATTAAAATTAATGAATTTGAAGGACATTTTCTAATTTAAAGTATACAAGTAATATTAAAGGTACATTATTTTATAACTAGAACTCGGGGGGACGAGACAACTTCACTGAGGGGGAAAGGGGATATCAAAGATATTTCTTTTGAACTGGACAATGGGGGATAAGGGTTGAACTACTTGGATGTAACGTTCAGAACTCTATTACACTCGGTGAATTAGGATCTAATAAAAACAGTTCAAGATTTATGACCACCATAAAATGTGTTAGAGAGAATAATTTGAATAGAAATTCTTTAAAAAAAGGGAGAACAAAAATTGAATGACAAAAGGAAAAGTTCGTTATATAGAAAATGCTTTTCGCTATAGAGAGGTTATTTTACAAAGAAAATCGTGAAATGTTCAATGTTCCAGGAAAAGTTCTCAATATAGAGGTTCGTATATATAGGGGTTCGACTGTAATAGCACCTTGAAAACCTCCTGTTATTTTTTAATCCCAGTTACACATAAAAGATTAAAATGTTGCTAATTTTTGAATACATTGTAAATATTTCATTTAATTGGTGTCATTCTTCGGAACCAAAAAATTACAATCTTCTCATTCCGATCAAAAAGTCAGCTCTGAAAACGCAACTTCTGCTTTGAAACAATTCACATTAACCCGTCAAAATATTCATCATAGAATCTATTCTTCCATTTATATATATATATATATATATATATATATATATATATATATATATATATATATATATATATATATATATATATATATATTCTGAATGAGTGAAATTAAAAGAGTGTTCCTACCAAATATCGTCAGAATTTTCGTAGGAAACGGATAATCTATATAATTTTAAAGCGAGCGGTACTTTTAAAATGTTCTTTCGGTAGATAAAGGATTAACTTCACGCCCTAAAGCAACACTATGGCTATTGGCGATGGACCTCGCAGTTTTGAACGCAGTCAGCAGATGAAGATGACACCTGAGATGGCACCTTTTTCTCCAATCTACCAATTTACGCCAACGGGAGGACTTAGAACCTTTATTACGCATTTAACCCCGTATCGCCCGCATTTTGATTTACTGCAGTTTTTTTCATGCATGTTTTTTTTTAACCACTGCATTCAAAATTAAGGGATACACATAAACAAAATACTAAACTTTGGGAAATTTAATTAGTTAGAGCTAATCAATTAATTAAAAATATTCAACTGTAAAACTAATTATACACACTATTCTCTGAAAATAAATAGTCAAATCGTTTTCTAAGGTATTCATTAATATACAAAAAATAAGAACAAGACACCTTCTGACATTAACTGTTTTTTCGGAACAAAAATGACAATCTTAGCAATCCGCTGAAAGCGCCGTTTCTGCTATAAAACTATTCGCTTTTCCCACTAAAATACTCATTATAGAACCCGTGCTGACATATATCTTGGAAGAGTGGACTTAAAAGAATATCCTTGCTAAGTATCGTCAGAGTGTTCGTAAAAATGGTTATTATATGTGATTTTTAGGGTAGTGGTACTTATAAGTACCGTTGGTAGATAAAGGGTTAAAATGCATCAGCTTCTCTGGACGGCAGGTCTCTATAGGCACTAGAGCTAGAACTCATAACATGATGGCTACGAATGTACAAGTAATCATTAGGCTACCCTAGCCACTTTATTTTACAAAATACCGTGAGTTTGCTAATGAAATATTCTATAATAATATAAAATCTTCAAAAAAAAGGTGCAATTTAATAAACAGAATAATACGATTTTGATCTCATTCTGAGCCTTTGATATAACTAGTTTTAATTACTTCTTAAAATTTCTTTATATCTCGTATTATGCAGGTGCTGGAGACTTAGAGGTAGCGTGCCCGCGACGTAAGCCTAAGGTTTCGGGTTCGACCCCGGCTGGAATCGATAGACTTTTAGGATGCGAAAATCGTAGGCACGTATGTCATATAACTATGTAGCATGTAAAAGATCCCTCGAGTACCAATTTGATTCTAATACTCTGTGCAATATTAAATCTCAGCAATATTTAACATCAGAGGAGAACTTGAATTAAAAATTATTTCAAGCGTTCAAATTTGGCTGCGAGAACCGCCACTAGATGGTGCCACCATGAAATGAATCTCACATTTGTGCGCTTGCTGTAAATGCAAAGGCTTAGTTGCTAAAATGAAGCCCCATTGGTAAAAAAAAATCTTGTATTATAAATCTGGTCTTTAACACTCGTGATTGCCAAATTAATTTTGAGCGTACAGTTTTAACTATTTTCCATACTTATTTGTACGAAGAGCAATGCGCTTACTGATTAAATTTCACAGGATGAGGAAACGAAAAATATTAAACAAAACAAAAATTAAAAATTAAAAAAATAAGCATAATATGATATATACAATAATACTATTTTTTATTTAGTAAATACAACCTCGGGATAAAAAATGTGTTTTTAAATTAAGAGGTAAATTTCTTTAAGAAAAATTATTCAAATAAGAGTTTCCTGCTGTTTTATTGGAATGAAGCCGATTCCTCTCGAGCCTAAGTTATAATGAGCTAGCAATTTTTTCCCCACTTAGATTTAGTGCGGCTGTGACAAACAAAGCAAATTTTCTCGCCCTTATCTTCGTCCCACTTAACTTCAGGCAATTAGTGCATTTACAGTGTTCCGCAAAGTGTGCCTTAATTTTAGCAAGGAAACTCATTTAATTAAAATTAATTAATTGCAAACAGTGATTATTCAAATCTAATCTTTCCTGTAAAAAGTTATTCAGAAAACCTCGCACAAATTTCGAAAGGAAATACAATCTTTCCCATTAAAAAGCTGAAATAAATGTTTTAAGAGTTTTAAAGAAACTGAAATAATTGCTTTGACAGTAAACGTTTCCTGTGTTGAAATATAACCGGGTATTTGCACGTAACCAAAGGAGTTATTGAAACGGAACAAATTAAATTTGGTTCTCGCAATTAATTTAATTGGGTATAACATTGATACACAACAGTTTTTAGATTGCATATTTCGCAAAGTAATCAGTATAGGAAACATTTTAATTTATATTTATTCAAAGAAGTCGGAGAAAACAAAATAAACTACTCTCGTAAATAAAAAAGTAATATCCTAATAATTATATTTTAAGTTTTTGTGAAGAATTATGAATATATTTTAGGATTTGTTTTTA